AGAAAGAAAATGCCAGCGACCCCCTGCGCCTGCGAATTATTTGTGTCCCCAAAGCGGTGAAGCGGGGCTCAGCGCTCCGAGAGTGGGCTGCGGCCAGGAGAGGGGCTGGGCTCTGGGCACCTCGCCCAGAAGGCCGGCATCGGTGCCAAGTGTTCACTGGCTACGCAGCAGAGCCACCGAGCAGCGCCCCCTCCGCGGGCACGCTGGGCGCCAAGGCCAGCTGCTCCTGCAAGCGGCCCGCGGAGCCCCACGCCCTGGACTCCCGACTTGGCACCCCTCGGAGGTCTCTCGGCTGACCCGCCGCGGTAGATGCCTGGTTCCAGGCGATCCTGGAGGCTCCCCCGCGCGCGGGGCCCTGCTGTCCCCGCGGTGCCCACCGGTGCGCCTTAGTCGCCGACCCACCTCATCTCAGGATGGAGGGTTTGAGTGTAATTGACACATCGCTCCTGGACGATCTCGGGAAAGCGGTGGGTGGTGCCCCGCCCTCCCCACTGCGAGCGCTGGGACTCCTGGTGCCACCTCGGGACGACCACCGCGACCACCACGACGAGGGTCAGGACCAGGAGACCGACGCCAAGACAGAGCTGGGCTTTCCTAGAGAGCCGGCAGCAGGGTTTGTCCCCAGACACCGGCCTGAACTCACAGTTGGCCATAGGGCTCCAGGAGGGGTCGGCTGGGCGAAGATGAGGCTGGTGGGAGGCTAGGCAGCAGGAGCAAGGCGGGCCGGGTTCTGAAACTGCACCTCCCCTTCTCTTTCACTTGCCTTTTCTCTGTTTCCCTTCCCACCCCCAACCCCTTGCCTCAGAGTTCCGTGGCTGGTTAAACCAATAAGAGTTTAAAAGACTAACAACTATAGGTTCCTGTGCAGTGACCCAACCACTCCACAGAGAGAAACAGCCCTCTTAATCCTCTGCAGGTGTCCTAAGGCAACGGAGAGTACATCCTTATACTCCCTCCATTAACTTCAGCAACGTGTGCCTTGCACTTGGGCCACATTTGCTTCCTGGAAAGAATGAGGGTGGAGTGCCCGCTTCTATACCTGTGTGCACACAATGCCCTCTGCCTTGAAAAGGTTGTCCTACTTCTCCCTCTTAGCTCTGACAAATGCCTGGTTAACCACCTTCAAAGACTCAAGTCTGACTCCTTCTCTCAAGTGGCATCAGTAGCTAAGCTCTGGGTTCAAATTTCGTTCTTGCTGGATGACATGGGGCAAGTTACTTAACCCTCTGTGCTTCAGATGTAAAGCCAGGATAATAGCAGTACCTACTTCATGGGATTGTTATGAGGATTAAGTGATTTAGTATTTACAACATGTTTAGCTCAATATCTGGCACATGGCAATCACCCAGTAAATGTAAGTTGTTACTACCAGCTCCATGGAGCTGCTCAGAGATGCAATTTTTTAGTGCATGGAATGTGTTTGAAGCAGGGTCTGTCATACAGTAATACTGCACTCTATGTGGGAGTTTAATAAGTAATAAAGTGGCTTTTCTTGCCTCTTGCTTAAGAGAACATCTGTGACATTCAAGCAGACCTAAGTAATGTGAGCAATCAAGTTACCAAACTCCCTTGGGGCAAACATTTGGAAATGGCAGATGCAAAGAGTCTGAGGCAGAGATGCCCTTGGCCTGTTCCAGGAGCAGCAAGGAGGCGAATTGTAATTAGGCTAGAGAGTTGAGGAAATCAGAGCCAAAGTTCGGAAAGCAGCAGGAGGCCAGATCGCCCATGGCCCTGTAGGACAGGGTGACTTTTTTGCACTGTGCATTTTATTTACTTTTTATCTATTTAATTTAATTTAATTAAGTTCTAGGACACATGTGCAGGACTGCAGGTTTGATGCATAGGTAAATAAATGTGTGCCATGATGGTTTGCTGCACCTATCAATCTATCACTTTAATATTAAGCCCCACACGTTTTAGCCATTCTTTCTAATGCTGCCCCTCCCTCCACTTCCCCCAACAGGTCCCAGTGTGTGATGTTCCCCTCCCTGTGTCCACGTGTTCTCTTATCCTTAAACTCCCACTTACAAGTGAGAATATGTAGTGTTTGGTTTTCTGTCCCTGTGTTAGTTTGCTAAGGACGCTGACTTCCTGTTCCATCCATGTTCCTGCAAAGGACATGATCTCGTTCCTTTTTGTGGCTGCACAGTATTCCCTGGTGTATATGTACCACACTTTCTTTATCTAGTCTGCCATTAATGAGCATTTGGGTTGATTCCATGTCATTGCTATTGTGAATGGTGCTACAATGAACATATGCATCATGTATCTTTATAATAGAATGGTTTATATTCCTTTGGGTATATACCCAGTAATGGGATTGCTGGGTCAAATGATATTTTTGGTTCTAGTTCTTTGAGAATCCCCACACTGTCTTCCACAATGGTTGAACTAATTTACGTTCCCACCAGCAGTGTAAGTGTTCCTATTTCTCCACAGCCTCACCAGGATCTGTTGACCTTCTAATAATTGCCATTCTGACTGGCATGAGACAGTATTTCATTGTGGTTTTGGTTTGCATATTTCTAATGATCAGTGATGTTGAGCTTTTTTTCACATGTTTGTTGGCCATATAAATGTCTTCTTTTGAGAAATGTCTGTTCTTGTCCATTGCCCACTTTTTAATGGGGCCATTTGTTTCTTTCTTATAAATTAGTTTAAGTTCCTTGAAGATTCTGGATATTAGACCTTTGTCAAATGGATAGATGTGAAAATTCTCGTTTTGTAGATTGTCTATTCACTCTGATGATAGTTTCTTTTGCTGCACAGAAGTTCCTGAGTTTAATTAGATCCCATTTGTCATTTTTGTTTTTATTGCAATTGCTTTTTACATTTTCATTATGAAATCTTTGCCTATGTCCTGAATGGTATTGCTTAGATTTTCTTCTAGTATTTTTATAGTTTTGGGTTTTACATTTAAATCTTTAATCCATCTTGAGTTAATTTCTGAATAAGGTGTAAGGAAGGGATCCAATTTCAATTTTCTGCATATGGCTAAGCCAGTTTTCCCAGCACCATTTATTAAATAGGAAATCCTTTCCCCATTGCTTGTTTTTGTCAGGTGTGTCAAAAATCAAATGGTTGCAGATGTGAGGTCTTATTTCTGAGATCTCTATTCTGTTTTGTTGGTCTATATGTCTGTATTTGTATTTTATTTTTAACCCATTCATGTATATTTTATTTTTAACCCATTCAAGGTCACCAAAAGACTTGATCTGGCATATTATTTTAAAGGCTCAATCTGGCATTAGTATTGAGAATAAATTGTAGGAGGATAAGGATGGAGAACAGCTAGTAGGAGTAACACAGATGGCAAAGGAAAAAAAGATGGATTCTGAATATAGTTTGAAGGTAGCAGCAGCAGGATTTGCTGATGAATTGGATGTAGCATTTGCAAGAAAGTCAAATACGATGCCAAGATTTTTTACATGTGTAACTGACCAAAGGAAAGAGCCCACTGCAATATAGAGCTATGGGAAAACATGAGGTAAGGTAGATTTGGTCTTGGGAAGAGGAATAAATCAAGAATTCTGTTTTTGATGTGCTAAGTTTGAGATGTGTATTATCCCCGTACAGGAGGCATCAAGTAGCCACTTGGGTATAAGCATCTGGAGTTTGGGCAAGGTATTAATGCTGGGGACAATGATAAGGGAGGCTTTAGCTTTGGACAGTTTTTAAAGCCAAGAGCCTATATAAGATCCTGTGAAGAGTGTGTGCAGAAACAGAAGAAGAGTTTCAGAGCGTCAGCCATGAGACAATCCTCTAGCAGAGGCCAGAAGGATGAGAGACCCTCAGCAAAGAGAACTGGGGAGGGTGACCCCTGAGACAAGAGAAAGGGTACCCTGAAAGTTATTGATGATATTGACAAGAGGAATCATTTTAGAGTAACGATGAGGACAAAGCCCACTTACAGTAGGTTCAGGGGACTATGTGAGAAGAGAGGTGGTATCAGTAAGTTAGCTGGGGTTTGTATGTGTGGAGAGTTTTTCTGTAAAATGGAATAGAGAAATAAAGTCATAGCTAGAGGATGCTGGGCAGTCAGGAGAGAGTATTTTGTTCTGAGGTGAGATTATCACAGTGTGTTTGTAGGATGCTGGGATGACCAAGTAGGCAAGCAACAATTGACGATGTGCCAGTAATTTCCCGCAACCTGCTGAGCTCAAGAGATCCTCCTGCCTTGGTCTCCCAAGTAGCTGGGACTGCAGGTGTGCACCACTGTGGGCCTGGCCAGTTTTTTGTATTTATTTATTTATTTTTATTTTGTAGCAGCAGGGTTTTGCCATGTTGCCCAGGCTGGTCTCGAACTTCTGGACTCATATATTGATCAGAGGTTTCCAAAGCACAGGTGAGAGTGTGGGTAGGAGCTCCACCACCTCACAGAAGAAAGACGAAAAACACTGCTCTCGGGGTTGGGAGGTTCATGGATTTCGTGATGATGACATATGGATGGCCTTTTCTGCTGCTTCTCAGTGAAATGAGAAAAAAACGTCATCTTCTGAGAGTGGGTGGGGTGCTGGTAGACCTGGAAGGAGGCCAGGAGAGCAAACGGACTGTGGGTTCTCAGGGTGTCATCAAGTGGTCAGGAATTTTTTTAAAAGGTCAGTTAGTACGTTGTGTTCTTTTCCCCAGCCACTCCCCACTGCTTAAATAAAGGGTGAAAGTGAGAAGAGCTGAGTTTGCCAGGGTGGAAGTTTGATGCGTGTACTTGTGTTCTAGGATTGCGGTAATAAAGTGTTATAACTGGGTGGCTTAAACAACAGAAATATATCGTCTCACAGGTCTGGAGGCTGGAAATCCAAAATCAAGGTGTCGTCAGACTGATTTCTTCTGAGGCCTCTCCCCTTGGCTTGTAAGTGGCTGTCTTCTTACTCTGTCTTCTCATGGTCTTCCCTCAGAACTCCTGTGTGTCCCATTTTCCTCTTTTTATAAGAACACCAGTCATACTGAATTTGGGCTCACTTTAATGACCTCATTTTAACTTAACTACCTCTTTAAAGCTATTACCCTGTCTTCAAATACAGTCATATTCTAAGGTCCTAAGGATTAGGATTTCAACATATGAATTTGGGGGGTACACCATTCAGCCTCTAACACCAGTCAGTATAATGGAGAAAAAAAATCAAGGAAGTATAAACTTAAAGCAAAGATGGGTTTTGTTTTGGGTTTTGTGGGTTGCTTTGTTTCTGTTTTTTGTTCTTTGCTCTTTGGTGCTTTTTTGTTGTTGTTGTTGTTGTTCTTGGGGGTTTTCTTGAGACAGGGTATTGCTGTGTCACCCAGGCTCTGGATGCAGTGCAGAGATCATGGCTCACTGCAGCCTCAGCTTCCTGGGCTCAAGCGATCCTACTGCCTCATTCCCCTGAGTACCTGGGACTACAGGTGTGCACCACTACACCTGGCTAACTTTTTTTGTATTTTTTCATAGAGATGGGGTTTCACCATGTTGTCCAGGCTGATTTTAAACTCCTGGATTCAAGCCATTCACTCTCCTCAAGGGTGGGATTTTAATAATGATCCATTGCATCTAAGTCCCACAGAAACTGAAGTGAGGGCAAAAGGAGGGTGAGAGATCACGAAAAGATGAGAGAGCTCATGGCTGGGAGGTCCTGAAGGGACCAAACAGTTGTTACAAGAAGATAACATTTGCACTTGAGTGCTTTCATAGGCAATGCAGGCTCACTCTGTCCCAAACTGAACTGTTGAGCTTTCTCTGTCAAACCAGCTCCTCTTCTGGTCTTTGGCATTTCTGTGAAAAGAGCTAACATCACCCGCAGTTACTCAAGCTAGGAATTTCAGTCTTTGACTCTTCCCTCCCCCTCATTCCACATATACACATGGACGTTTGTTCCTACTGCCTGCAAATTGTTCATTAAATAACCATTTTCTTCATCTCCACTACCACCAATTTAGTCCAAGAGAAAGTTCACCTCCTCTCTCACTCAGGAAGAGCTTCCCCACCATTCTCCCCAATCCACACTTTCCACCTTCCTCCATGTATTGTCTACACCACAGC